CGCGATGTTGCAAGACACCTCAATCTTTACATCTGATCTTCACGGGTCTCAATAGTACGGATAATCTCTGTTATTTTTGTTGATATTTCAAACGTAGAACATGGGATAGCATACGTTATTAACATCGCCTTGATCTCACTTAAAGTGGTGAACCACCCACAACACATTTCAATCACATTCACAAACAAGGTACATACAGGTGAAGACTAAGTTATTGTGTGCGCTACAAGCTACTGATGATTTGTCGAGGGACAATGGTCTTGAATGTTGATCATAGTCCCATTGGAATACGTAATAAAAACACATTACCCTCTGCGTTCAACATTGGTAAAAGTCATTCGTTGCTGATATGAATGTATTGCTTATTCAGTGGTCAAGTACAAAATTAAAGAGAAATGAATTTCCCTCATATGTACATTAACTGTTTGTGAACATCAATCATTTGTGGGTCATGTTAGGCTTTCAGGGATGATATTTTCACCGAAAGTTGTACTACTCAACCATAACAACCATAACAAATACTGTTCAACTATTGCCAACTGTTGAATTTCACTTTTCTCTGTATAAAGAACTCACTGCATACATGGTCCATGTATAGGTTAATTACTGTAATTGGTTATTTGATATTCAGTTGCGTGATATGTCACAGAGGTAAATCTAATTCATAACAACTAATTGTCCCATTTATTTGGCTTCTATCTTTTATATGAAACAAATGCTATAACATGGGGTGATAAACTTCATTGGCAATAGACGTAGCATATAATTGTCCACATAAACAGTCTACTCTGTTCCAGAGATGTTTATTCATTTTGTCAAATTTAAATCGTTGCATTCCTGGCTCAATGATTCATTTGACGAAATCTTGTTCCCTGTTTTGAATTACCGTCAGATAGTTCCAGACCAATTATAAAATTTCCAGCCCTATGTGTTGCGCATAATTCCGAGATAATTCGAAGTTCATATTCTTGTACGAACACTTATCAAAATTCATTTATACCTAGTACTATTATGTACATATGTATATTAGTTCAAATTATAATATTGACTCCCTCTATTCTCGAAACGGTCTTTGTTCTATGACAACCGTAAGTCGGTATGGGAAAACAAAATATTTGTTTAATTGTTCAAAGTTCATAGTCAATGTCATATGATTATAGACAAGGAAGATAAGAAATTAAATATAAAGAGTAGCCACTTTAAATGACAGAAATTCTCTTAGTTAAATTTGCTCATGATTTGGTCTTTTCGTGGTAAATAGCGCCAAAATACTCTTAATTATTTACTTTCATGTCATTACTAATCTCACATAAGGTCAAAAGTTGTACAACGTTTAACAGATATGATTATGACATGTTGTATCCAAACATATCCAAACAAATCCAAACAAATCCAACTTTGGAAATATGACCTTGACAAATTTTAAAATGGTCATATTTCCATTTGGAATGGTGGTATTTCCAAGTTTTGGATTATTTGGAATGGATGATATTTTGTCCAGTGTAAGCTTTGTACTTCATGGTTTAATTGATGTGCTATCTTTAGATATGTGTAGTCTCGTTTAGCATTATTAAATGCACTTTTGCGTTTTTTCCTAGTTTTTTTTTTATTTCCTCGTTCACCAGGATACTGTGGCTTTGTCTTTTATTGGTGTTGTGAAAGGGATAGGTTTTTTTGGCTATGTTGAATTTTGGTTCTTGTGGTTCATTTTGGGTTTGCATGATTATGTTTCCTATGGTTATGTTGATTGGAAAGTGGTCGCTGCCGAGTGGCTCCTCATGCACTTCCCACGAAGTTAGGTCTATAGCTGACATATTTTGATTCATTTTATCATATCTAGTTGGTTGGTTGTTATTTAGTAGTATTAGGTTTTTTGTTCTATCCATTCGGCGATGAGTTTGCCGTTTTGGTCTGTTTTATCTTAAACACTCCAGGAGGGGTGGTGGGCGATAAAGCCCCCTAAGAAGATGGTGGATTTAGGGTTTCTAAGTCTTCACTGTCCAGTTGTATATGTTAACAATGTTTATTTTTTGGTTGTGATGAGTTATTTGTATACCATTAGCTTCTAGAGTTGGAGTTTTAATTGGTATTTCTTTACGGTTTATGTCCTCCCTGATATATATGATTAGGCCACCTGTCGAGTCTTACCAAGTAATAATTAGGTAGGGTGAATTTAGATTTTGGGGAGAAGTGGGTTTCCTGAACGCATATGATATGAGGAACTTGGTTTTTCCGAAACATAATTTTTAATTCGTGGCCGTGGGTGGCCTGTCCATTGGCATTCCACTGTAGTATGTGTAGACCTTCCATTATTTAGAGGGTTTCGAGTTTGGGGATGAAGTTTTCTGTAGGCGCAGGTTGTTGTGGTTTCTATTTTGAGATTTCTTTTAATGTGTTATTGAAGTTTTCAAAGGAGAGACTAGTAAGATTTAGTTTGAAAGCCACTGTGTGAAAGGACTTAATGTTATTGTTGGCGCCGGGGGTGTTTTGTTTGAGTATATATGCTAGTAACATTGTAAGGTTGTTTAGGGTTTTGAATCCTGTCTGATTTGGTGTTTTATGGTTATGTTTTTCAAGGGTTTTGAAGAAGACATTCGATGTGTCGAGAGGGTCATATTCTGTTGTGAGTGAGTATTCTACGCTTATGGTTTGGGTTGAGGTGTCAATGTTGGTTTGATGTGTGTTTATTTGTTGTGTTGTGGGTTGCTGTTGTGTTTGTTTGTTGGTGATGGTGGATTTGGAGGCTGCGATGCTTGGTTCTTGTGCTTGTTTGGGTCCGATAGTTGTTGCCCTAGTGGCTGTGGTGTTTTGGGTGGTCGGCCTGGGTATGTTGCGTGCTCTGTGGCTTGTTCTAAGTTTTCAAATGTTGGGAAACCGGGAGTACACCGTTTTGCCTGCAGGTGTAGATGTTGTGGCGTTTGGGTGTATGGAGAACTCTGCCGTTAAAGATCTCCTGGATGTTGTTGTGTTGGGTGCGGTGAAGGTATTTTCGGTGGGTGTGTCCCAAACAGATTTTATGTTTTCTAGATGTTGTGTGTGTTGTTGTGTTGGTTTAGGTAGTGGTATGATGTTTGTCTGTGGCCTGGGGAGAAGTGGTTGGGGCGTGCGTGGTGCTGGTTTTCTTGTTTGTAGTTTTACTGTGTCGATGTCTATGTGTTTGTTTGCCTGTTGTGTGAGGGTGTATCTGTGGGGGCAGTAAGGTGTGAGTTATTGTTAACACAACCTGCCTGCTTTTAAAGGCAGCTGACCGATCTTTATTCTGCTGAGCTAGTCAGTTCTGATTAACCTGACAGTCGCTATGTCAGCAATTATGCTGTTTATATAAGTACCTGACATTTGCTATGTCAGCAATTAGGCTGCTTATATAAGTACGTCAGCTGACCAGTTATTATCTGCCGAGTTGGTCAATATTAAAACGCAGAAATTTTATACATGTAATTATGTTATCTGTATATGTTTTGCATTGTCGATCAAAACTATATTTTAATGGCGTTTCACTATATTTTATGTATAAACTCCCACTTTATTCATGTCAAACACCTGGTTTTATCACTGATTTTCAGTGACCCATTCAAATAATGTTCACCAGCTTTTTTTTACAGTCAATGGAATCTGTTTCATTGGATAATCAAGATAGGTTTTTCTCTGGCATTGACGTTTTATATTTATTTGAAATGGGGGGATATTTTCTGCCTGTGTTCTGAAGTCCCCGAATTTCATTTTTAGCTCAATAGCATTTATCAAATATGCTGAGACAACTACAAAAAAAGTGTTTGGGCTGAGACAGAAACTGCCTCCGTCCCCGCCCCCGAACAAGTTAACAAGTTAATTTGGCCATGAGGTTTGACTAAAGCTATAAGTTATATCGATGATCTGATATCGTTAATAACCATCAAACAGCCAATTCTCTTCCACTGATTTACCCTCCTGAACTAGAAATAAAGGTGATCAGTGATCAGTGAAACCGCCTCGTCTGTCTCATGCTCTTTCTTCAGAAATTTCAAAGAGCGTCATCCCACTCTTTCTCAAAAGTTGTTTCATCAAGGTAACAACATTCAAGGCCCCAGTAAAGCTTTCAAAGGGTTTTATGGTAGACATGTGGTGGACATTTCCAAATTTGAGCATCAGTGACCAAAATTATGCCCTCTGCTATTCCCTCTTTTGACTTTGACCACATGTTCCCGTGTATTTTTCAGGTGAACAATTAACTAGCCTTTGCATGTGTTTGTGACGAATGCCACCAGTTGGGCAGGTTGCGCTCACCTATTCGCGAACACCTGGTACCATCACTATTTGATAGTAATTCTCAACAGTCGGAATTGTACAATCGAGATTACTTGTGGACTTTCCGTTTCCTGTCAATACTTTTGTGCTCTCTACCAATGACAACATAACGCAGAAAAGACGCTGAAAGACATTCAACAGTTTCCTCTACTCTTTTGGCCAGTTATTTGGCATATGCTTCGACAGCATCCATAATGAGTTTCAAGTTGTGCTCCCAAATCGTAGCAGGTTCCTCACGGTATTCTGATCCATATTTGAATATCTGACGAAGGTTGTTATTGTCAACAACAGAGAAGTCACCCGTGATTATATGACCTACAGGCTTAAAGAAGTATGATGAGTATTGGCAGCCACAAGTAGTGGAATTTACATCTTTAGCTGCCAAGTTCACTTTCTGGAACACCTTCCTATAATTGAACAACCTGGATGAAATGGTGTTCATATACGAAAATGAAAGTGTTGATGGTTCCTGAAATTTGGAATATTGTCGGACATTTTGGTAAACTTATTTTTGACTGAGAATGTTACTTAAGTTTAGGGCAACAATTCCCTTTTTGCAAATTTCAAATTCAAGGACATGCAGTCTTTGATTTAGTGGACATTTGTTTCTGTTTTGGCCAAACGTTTCAAACCGACATCAAGAACTTTACTCTCTGTACTGTAGACCCACCCATCAGCAAAAATTGCTGGAGTCGTTTAATTTCTTTCTTTGACAGTCTTACTATGTGCAGTCCCAATGATCCTCAAGGAGAGGCAACAAATGAATGGTATAATTTGGCCTTTTGTCTTTCTTGTGACCATGGCTACGTCGACGTCTTTGGGATGCTGGAAACTGACTCAATACATTAACGTTGGCACGTCTTTGGTAAGAAAGACTTCAAAGTCTTTTATTTTGTCATATAGGGTCGACTGCATTTAAAAATGCTAGATGGATGGAATATTTTCGCTAATATCCTTACTTTCATGCAAAGAATGGCATGACTTTCAGAATTGAAATGTTGGTAGACACAATTGGAACATTTAGCAAGACCGACTTTCTAAATTAGATTTATTATTGGACAGTATGGTAGCTAGTTAACAGTTTGGTGATAAGGTAGCTAAAAAAAAGCAAATAACATCCCGAGTTGCATGTATGCTAGTTACACGTCTTCTCGATACTGCGATACTTATTTACTAGCTATGAAACTTACATCGAATGTCATGGTAATAGCACTTAAAAATATACACAATGGAAAAAAATAGATACATGGGACAAAAAGAATGTTTTCCTAAATTACAGTTGATTAGATATATCCCACTTCTCCCTATATTTAGCAGAAGACAAACTTGTTCTTGAGCATTGCATTTATTGCTCTAATCTTTTGCCTGATTGTTCTCTGGCGTTGACGTTTTGTGTAATTTAGAGTCTTTTGAAAAGTGTCAATTTAATTTTCTTTCAGAGAGCAGATTCAAGTGATACCTAACTGATTGGCCATAGCGGTATGAACCGCCACAGATCTGCAGCATTGTGTGCAATCATTTTTCTTGTTTCAATACCTGGATTTGTATGGTGGAGAAGTGATCAATATGTGAGTAAATATTTACACGAACATTCATATTGAGTACTTTTTCTTTTTTTTTACGATAACCTCATTGTATCTATATAACGATCTTCCTCTTTAAAGGACACACAGTATGTATGTTCAGATTTCTTATGATTGAAAACTTTCTTTTAGTCAACCTTCCCTTTATGTCGTCCACTATTCCAGCCGGTCAAGCCTTTGGACTGAAATGCTCGTCTACGATTTCAAACATCATACGACTCTTACTCAGGGTTTGAGGGTTTTAGCATTCAATGCACAAGTGAAGCATTCAAAGCGTTTTATGGCATACATGTAAACTATAGGCAAGAGACGGTATACTGAGTTGTTTTTTTTATGTAATTGAAATTTGAAAGAAATGTTAAATTTGATTATGTCTATTTAACCACCACTTATTCCGGCAACATTTTGTAAAAAGTAATCTGTGGCTGGGTGATTTTGTGTAAAAATATATTGGTTCAAAGACGACTGGGGTAAGAAATAAATTTGCAACCACATTCCCCCTACCATGCTTGATGAGTTGTAAATGTGTGCCGCAAAAGGCAAATTTGTTTATTTTCAAAGATACCCACCAGCAGTTGGGTATTATGCGAATGTATCTCTTCATTTTTAATGTTTTAACTCAAATAGTATTTTATAAAATAAAACAACGTAGAAGTATTCGATGAGTGCTGACTTAGCGCCAATGCAGTTGACTTTATGGAAATAATATATCTAACTTAAGATATCTTCATTTGAAAATCAAACATATGATAAAATCAACTGAAAGTTTGACTTGTTTTGCTCCTCAGTTGACAAATTTGACACGAAAGTGACAAGAATTAATTGACATATTTTGAATTGTACATATGCCTTTTCTTAAGCAGTCACTGGTCGCCAAGGCGTCTAATGCTCCGCGAATCGCTGTTCGGGCCTGCGCGACAGTATCCTGTCATGTACCCAAAATGCAAGATTCCTCCTGTGTGTGATTTATGGTTTGCCAGGACCATACCCGAACTTTCATAAAAAGGATAAAACTCCCGGATAAAACTCCCATATAAAACTAAAGACCTGTTATCCCTTTTGGCGTTCCTCACAATTTAACCTGATCATGATCTGACATACATTCATATAACAGGAACATTGTTAAGTTGCATTAAGTGTTTCTTATCTCAACTCAATGTTTCAGCTGGACATTGGGGAACTGTCCATGTCTAGTGATGGAAAGCAATTCTCGTTTAACAAGATACCTCGGCCAGCTACTCAATCTGAAAACAGCGGAAAACCACTTCAGTACTTCAGACAGATTGGAAGAATGTCAACCTTTTTCTTAACTGCTTTTGCAGTAAATGACCGACCAATAAAGGGTCGTTTGAACATCATCATAAACACCTTTGATGGCGCCCATGTGACCTTGAAGTGCTGCATCATACTGAGCAACCACACGTTGTTGATAACCAATGCATCGGAACCATACAAGATGCCAGGTGGAGGCCATTACCACGCTACACAATACACTTGTTCATTACCGCTTGGGACAGATGTGGAACAGATGTCCCTGACGTCGTCCTCGTGCAGCCATGACGTACAGGATTATATTCCAGTGAAGAGACCAGTCCAACGACCAGGAGGTTTAGCTCTGTGTGGGAAGACCTTATTTGGAAAAGACCTGAGGCCTCAGCGATTAGTGGAATGGATAGAAATCCAAAAGCTACTGGGAGTTGACAAGATTCTGATATTTGATTTGGACAATCCAGAAAGTATACGAAAGATATTTCGGTATTACTCCAAACAAGGAATACTGGAAGTTCAGCCCTTCGAATTACCAGGAAGAATAGACGGTAATATTATTAAACAATTTTCTTGTAACGTTTTTTTGTTACTCCAGGTGCTAAGGTTGTGTCACTGTGCACAACGTATGTGGTGTCATCGCACCATGAAATAACATAAGTCAAAATAACGTAAAATAACATATAGTAGTAATTTATTCAGTAGTACGGCCACATGGCCTAAGTACAGTTTTACGTGTCAAGAAAAGTGGTCACGTGAGAGTTTGTAATTGAAAAACATGTTTTAAGCAACAGATTTAAGGAGTTGTACGTTTCTAGTGTTCGGCAACTTTACCATTGACTGAGTGTTGGTAGAGCTATAGTGAGGTATTTCTAATACTTGAGTACTCAGGGCATATAACATAATATGATACTCATCAGTAACAAAAGCTTAATTACAATGTGTACATAGAGTCGGACTTATCTACATTTTTACATTGTCTTGATGTATTGTTTATCATCACCGACGTCTTGTGCAATCCACACATGAGAAAATCCGCAAAAGAATAGAAGATAGCGTATTTCTGATATCCAATTTGTATTTTTCCAATTTCATCCAATTTTCTTAGCATAATATAACATTGATGGGGATATCTATATTCATTCTTAATAATCTAATCCAATATTTAACAATTCTCATCTGAGTAGATATATACAGACAATGCCGTCCTGTCTCATCAAGGATAGCTTTGTCAGCAGCAAACTTTCCAACTCGCTTGAAGTAGGCTGCTTGGACTTCTTCAATACTTTCTGGATATTTAATTCCCTAGATGCATATAATAAGATTGGTGAAACGTTAGAGTCAAATATTTTGCACGCACAAGAAAACTGTTTGTATTGTTGAAATATATTATATATTGGAATAATGACATTCGAGAGGGAAGATTTTTCATGTCTTTTGCAATTGCATTTTCTTTCAAAAATTTACTTCAAGTCCCCACTTTTTACAAAATCATATAACACAATCAAGTTGTCGCTGTAGGCCAATAACAGTATATGAAAATGTCACAACATCGTCCGCAAATAGAAGGAGCATTAAATCTTTAATACTTTGTGAAATAAAAATGCAATGGCTACAAGATGTTACATTTCTGTCACTAATTCATTTATGAAGAAGATAAACAAAAGCGGACTTAAGATGCATCCTTGACGAACTTAAGAGGATGTTTGAAATGATGGGGTTATCTCACTATTAATTTTCAAGCAAGATTTAACGGAGCCGTACAGGTTTTTGAGACTACTGTGTATTTTTCCAAGACATCCTTTCTGTAACAATAAGTATAAAAGTGTTTTTCTTGGTCAAAGGTCAAATGCCTTTTTAATATCTATAAACGCACAAAAGAAACGTCCTTTTGGTCTGAAAAGATACTTACTGTATAATGCTTGTGAAGAGAATAGGTTGACTATTCTAGAATAATGTTCTCGGAAATCAGCTTGTGATTCTGAATCTGATTAAATACAAGTTTTTAGATGTGGAACAATGTAATAAATGACCACCTTTAAAAATTCTGCAGGAATGCCATCCACCCCTGGTGCTTTCCCATTCCTTACATATTCAATTTCCTATGTAATCTCTTCCTCAGTTAATGATCAAAACAAATCTGTATTCAGTGGATTATAAATGCATGCATCACATTTGTGGTTATCAACAAAATCATTTACTTGACGCTCAAAATCTGAAACTATGACTGTAGATCCTTGATGTAATAGACACTTGAAATAGCGATAAAACAGACGGATCCACAGTAGAAGAATGATTGGTACATGTATTTCGTAAAAAATGTTTCACAGTGTGCCAAATGTTTTTGCTGCCATTACTTTTCACAGCATCATTAATATCTTCACTTATCTTCTCTTTGTGCTTAGATCTTTTATGTTAACAGCACTCCTTGAAGTTTGATATTGCATTTAAGTATCTCGGTAAATTTTCAATACCTTTGTATTTCCTGGATTGATTTAAGTACGTGTATTCTTTTAGCATTGCGCACAGTTTATCAAACCAATCAGGTTGTTGTCGAAAAATACGCCTCCTCTTAGTTTTGAAGAAACGTTTTACTGCCACAATACGAAAAGATATCCGTTAATCTACACGTAGATGCATTTATGTCACTTTCAGCTAATCCTCGGTATTCCTCAAAAACCTGTTCAGTACTAATTCTCGGAGGTTCAATTCAATTTATAAAATATATATATGGTGGGAATCAGTTGTAAATTATTTGTTGTTGGAGCTGATTGAAACGGCTGTTATTTACTTTTATGATACATTTAAATAGCATATGGTTAGATTCCGTACGAAGTAAAACCAATAAATCATAGTGATTGTGAAAAATGTCACTTGAAATGAGGAAATACTACATCTTTGATGGGATATGCATGTATAATTTGCGGGCGTATCTCCTTTTGTGCGCCCATTTAGAATATGGATATTGAAAGGTTTGCACAACTGTAAAATACATCTTCCATATGTGTCTACAACAATACCACTTGTATGTCTTGGATAGTCAAAATAATCTGAATTATAATCTTGTGCAACTGGTAAATACGGAACATCCTCATCTATTACATAATCTGGCCCATTAGACGTTGTTGCGTTTAAATTCCAGAACAAAGTAAAGTGAGAGGTTTCCACAATATCAAACAGTATCTGCAGGAGTTTATCTTCTAAAAGTTCAAATCCATTTCCTTCTAAATGGTTATACATAGGCGAAACTTCTATTCTGGATGAACATAGATAAACCAATAACAGATGATATGGCAATGTTGTATCTTTTACTTGAAAGAAAGGGTAATGTGTAATGGTATCGAGGAAGGATAATGTGGGATTTTGTTTAGGAAGGGTAATGTGTGATTGGACATGGAGGGGTAATGTATGATGATATCGAGGAAGGGTAATGTGTGATGGTATCGAGGAAGGATAATGTGCGATTTTATCGAGGGAAGTGTAATGTGTGATTGAGTCGAGGAAGGATAATGTGTGATTGCATCGAGGAAGGGTAATGTATCATTGTATCGAGGAAGGTTTTTGTGTGATTGTATCAAGGAGGCATAATGTGTTATTGCATCGAGGAAGGAAAATGTGTAATTCTATCGAGAAAGGGTATTGTGTGATTGTTATGAGGAAGGGTAATGTGTGATTGCATCGATGAAGAGTAATGTGTGATTGCATTAAAGTTTTTTTGTGATTATACCGAGGAAGGGGAATGTGTCATTGTATCGATGAAGGGTATTGTGCAATTATATTGACAAAGGGTAATATGTGATTGTATGAAGGAAGGGTAATGTGTGATTGCATCGAGGAAAGGGAATGTGTAATTGTATCGAGGAAGGGTAATGTGTGATTGTGTTAAGGAAGGGTAATGTGTGATTGCATCGATGAAGGGTATTGTGCAATTGTATCGAGAAGGATAAGGTGTGATTGTATCGAGAAAGAGTAATGTGTAATTGTATCGAGGAAGGGTAATGTGTGATTGTATCGAGGAAGGGTAATATGTAATTGTATCAAGAAAGAGTAATGTGTAATTGTATCGAGGAAGGGCATTGTGTGATTCTACCGAGGAAAGGGAATGTGTTATTGTTTTGAGGAAGGGTAATATGTGATGGTATCGAGGAAGGATAATGTGTCATTGTATCGAGGAAGGGTACTGTGTGATGATATCCAGGTAGGATAATGTGTAAGTGTAAGGATAATGTGTGATTGTATCGAGGAAGGATAATGTGCGATTTTATCGAGGGAAGTGTAATGTGTGATTGAGTCGAGGAAGGATAATGTGTGATTGCATCGAGGAAGGGTAATGTATCATTGTATCGAGGAAGGTTTTTGTGTGATTGTATCAAGGAGGCATAATGTGTTATTGCATCGAGGAAGGAAAATGTGTAATTCTATCGAGAAAGGGTATTGTGTGATTGTTATGAGGAAGGGTAATGTGTGATTGCATCGATGAAGAGTAATGTGTGATTGCATTAAAGTTTTTTTGTGATTATACCGAGGAAGGGGAATGTGTCATTGTATCGATGAAGGGTATTGTGCAATTATATTGACAAAGGGTAATATGTGATTGTATGAAGGAAGGGTAATGTGTGATTGCATCGAGGAAAGGGAATGTGTAATTGTATCGAGGAAGGGTAATGTGTGATTGTGTTAAGGAAGGGTAATGTGTGATTGCATCGATGAAGGGTATTGTGCAATTGTATCGAGAAGGATAAGGTGTGATTGTATCGAGAAAGAGTAATGTGTAATTGTATCGAGGAAGGGTAATGTGTGATTGTATCGAGGAAGGGTAATATGTAATTGTATCAAGAAAGAGTAATGTGTAATTGTATCGAGGAAGGGCATTGTGTGATTCTACCGAGGAAAGGGAATGTGTTATTGTTTTGAGGAATGGTAATATGTGATGGTATCGAGGAAGGATGATGTGTCATTGTATCGAGGAAGGGTACTGTGTGATGATATCCAGGTAGGATAATGTGTAAGTGTAAGGATAATGTGTGATTGTATCGAGGAAGGGTAATGTGTGTTTCGACTTGGAGGGTAATGTGTGATTTAGCAAGGAAGGATAATGTGTGATTGTTTCGAGGAGGGGCAATGTTTGATTGTATCGAGGAGGGGTAATGTGTGATTGTATCATGGAAGGGTTTTGTGCTATTGTATGGAGAAAGAGTAATTAGTTATTGTATCAAGGGTAATTATGTGTGATTGTGTCGAGGAAGGGTAATGTGTGATTGGACTAGTAGTGGAAAATGTGTGTATCGAGAAAGGGTATTGTGTGATTGTGTCGAGGAAAGGGAATGTGTAATTGTATCGAGGAAGGGTAATGTGTGATGTGACCTGGAGGGTAATGTGTGGTCGTATTGAGGAAAGATAATGTGGGATTTTATCGAAGAAGGTTAATGTGTGATTGTTTCGAGGAGGGGTAATGTGTGATTGTTTCGAGGAGGGGTAATGTTTGATTGAATCGAAGAAGGGTAAGGTGTGATTTTTTTTAGGAAAGGTAATGTGTGATAGTATCGAGAAAGGGTAATGTGTGATTCAATCGAGGAAAGGTATTGTGTGATTGCATCGAGGAAAGGGAATGTGTAATTGTATCGAGGTAGGGTAATGTGTGGTTGGACAATGAGGGGTAATATGTGATGGTATAGAGGAAGGATAATGTGTGATTCTATGAAGGAAGGTTAATTTGTGATTGGACTTGGAGGGTAATGTGTGATTGTACCGAGGAAGGATAATGTGTGATTTTATCAAGGAAGGATAATGTGCTATTGTATCGAGAAAGAGTAGTGTGTAATTGTATCGAGGAAGGGTATTGTGTGATTGTATTGAGGAAGGATAATGTGTAATTGTATCGAGGAAGGGTGTTGTGTGATTGTATCGAGGAAGAGGAATGTGTAATAGTATCGAGGAAGGGTAATGTGTGATGGTGTCGAGGAGAGATACTGTGTGATTGTATCGAGGAAGGGTAATGTGTGATTAGACTGGTAGTTGTAATGGGTGATGTTATCGAGGAAGGATAATGTGGGATTTTATCGAGGAAGGATAATGTGTGATTTTATCGAGGAAGAGTAATTTGTGATTGAGGAAGGGTAATGTGTGATGGTGTCGAGGAGGGATACTGTGTGATTGTATCGAGGAAGGGTAATGTGTGATTAGACTGGCAGTGGTAATGGGTGATGTTATCGAGGAAGGATAATGTGGGATTTTATCAAGTAAGGATAATGTGCTATTATATCAAGAAAGAGGAGTGTGTAACTGTATCGAGGAAGGGTAATGTGTAATTGTATCGAGGAGGGGTATTGTGTGATTGTATCGAAGAAGGGTAATGTGTGGTAGTATCGAGGAAGGGTAATGTGTGATTTTATCGAGGAAGGGTAATGTGTGATTGCATCGAGGAAAAGGAATGTGCAGTTGTATCGAGTAAGGGTAATGTGTGATTGCATCGAGGAAAAGGAATGTGCAGTTGTATCGAGTAAGGGTAATGTGTGATTGGACAATGAGGGGTAATGTGTGATGGTATCGAGGAAGGATAATGTGTTATTTTATCAAGGAAGGATTAGGTGTGACTGTGACGAGGAAGGGTAATGTGTGATTTTATCGAGAAAGGGTAATGTGTGATAGTATCAAGAAAGGGGAATGTGTGATTTTATCGAGGAATGGTATTGTGTGATTGCATCGAGGAAAGGGAATGTGTAGTTGTATCGAGTAAGGGTAATGTGTGATTGAACAATTAGGGGTAATGTGTGATGGTATCCAGGAAGGATAATGTGTGATTCTATGAAGGAAGGTTAATTTGTGATTGGACTTGGAGGGTAATGTGTGATTGTACCGAGGAAGGATAATGTGTGATTTTATCAAGGAAGGATAATGTGTGATTGCTTCGAGGAGGGTTAATGTATGATTGTATCGAGGAAGGGTAAAGTGTGATTGTATCATGGAAGGGCTTTTTCCTATTGTATCGAGGAAGAGTAATGTGTGATTGTATGGAGAAGGGGTAATGGTGATTTTTTCAAGGAAGGATAATGTGCTATTATATCGAGAAAGAGTAGTGTGTAATTGTATCGAGAAAGGGTAATTTGTGATTGTATCGAGGAGGGGTATTGTGTGATTGTATCGAGGAAGGGCTTTTTCCTATTGTATCGAGGAAGAGTAATGTGTGATTGTATCGAGGAAGGATAATGTGGGATTTTATCAAGTAAGGATAATGTGCTTTTATATCAAGAAAGAGTAGTGTGTAATTGTATCGAGGAAGGATAATGTGTAATTGTATCGAGGAGGGGTATTGTGTGATTGTATCGAGGAAGGGTAATGTGTGATAGTATCGAGAAAGGGTAATGTGTGATTTTATCGAGGAAGGGTATTGTGTGATTGTATCGAGGAAGGGTAATGTGTGATAGTATCGAGAAAGGGTAATGTGTGATTGGACTGGTAGTTGTAATGGGTGATGTTGTCGAGTGAGGATAATATGTGATTTTATCGAGGAAGAGTAATTTGTGATTGTTTTGAGGAGGGGTAGTGTTTGTTTGTTTCGAGAAAGGGTAATGTGTGATTGTAGTGTGGAAGCGTAATGTGTGATTGTATCGAGGAGGAGTATTATGTGATTGTATCGAGGAAGGGTAATGTGTGATGGTATCGAGAAAGGGTAATGCGTGATTGTATGAAGTAAGGGGATTGTGTGATTGTATCGAGGAAAGGGAATGTGGAATTGTATCGAGGAAGGGTAATGTGTGATTGGACTAGTAGGGTAATGTGTGATGGTATCGAGGAAGGATAATGTGGGATTTTATCGAGGGAGGATAATTTGTGATTGCTTCGAGGAGGGTTAATGTATGATTGTATCGAGGAAGGGTAATGTGTGATTGTATCATGGAAGGGCTTTTTCCTATTGTATCGAGGAAGAGTAATGTGTGATTGTATCGAGGAAGGGTAATGTGTCATTGTATCGAGGAGGGGTATTGTGTGATTGTATTGAGGAAGGATAATGTGTGATTGTAACGAGGAAAGGGTAATGTGTGATTGTATCGAGGAGGCGTATTATGTGATCGTATATAGGAAGGGTAATGTGTGATGGTATCGAGAAAGGGTAATGCGTGATAGTATGAAGGAAGGGGATTGGATGATTGTATCGAAGGAAGGGGATTGGATGATTGTATCGAAGAAAGGGAATGTGGAATTGTATCGAGGAAGGGTAATGTGTGATTGGACTAGAAGGGTAATGTGTGATGGTATCGAGGAAGGATAATGTGGGATTTTATCGAGGGAGGATAATGTGTGATTTTGTCGAGGAAGAGTAATTTGTGATTGTTTTGAGGAGGGGTAATGTTTGATTGTATTGAGGAAGGGTAATTTTTGATTGTATCGAGGAAGAGTAATGTGTGATTGTATCGAGGAAGGGTAATGTGTCATTGTATCGAGGAGGGGTATTGTGTGATTGTATTGAGGAAGGATAATGTGTGATTGTAACGAGGAAAGGGTAATGTGTGATTGTATCGAGGAGGCGTATTATGTGATCGTATATAGGAAGGGTAATGTGTGATGGTATCGAGAAAGGGTAATGCGTGATAGTATGAAGGAAGGGGATTGGATGATTGTATCGAAGGAAGGGGATTGGATGATTGTATCGAAGAAAGGGAATGTGGAATTGTATCGAGGAAGGGTAATGTGTGATTGGACTAGAAGGGTAATGTGTGATGGTATCGAGGAAGGATAATGTGGGATTTTATCGAGGGAGGATAATGTGTGATTTTGTCGAGGAAGAGTAATTTGTGATTGTTTTGAGGAGGGGTAATGTTTGATTGTATTGAGGAAGGGTAATTTTTGATTGTATCGAGGAAGGGTAATGCGTGATTGTAGTGATGAAGCGTAATGTGTGATGGTATCAAGGAGGCGTATTATGTGATTGTATCGAGGAAGGGTAATGTGTGATTGTATCGAAGAAGGGTAATGTGTGATTGTGTCGAGGATGGGTAATGTGTGATTGCATCGAGGAAGGATAATGTGTCATTGTATCGAGGAAGGGTAATGTGTGATTGTTTCGAGGAAGGGTATTGTGTGATTTTATCGAGTGCAATGTGTGATTGCATCGAGAAAGGGTAATTAGTGATTGTATTGAGGTAGGGTCAGATGTGATTGCATCGAGGAAGGATAAGGTTTGATTGTATCGGGGGAGAGTATTGTGTGATTGTATCGAGGAAGGGTTATGTGTGATTATATCGAGGATGTTTCCTGTCTCAATGGCAAACTATTCTGTTTGGTGTTGAATGTTAAGGCTGCCCAGTAGGATATCAGGGTTCTGGTGGTAACCGTATCATCTGTGCGTGTGTACCAGCATGTGGCTTGGAAGAGGGAGGATGTTAGGACGGCTTCTTCAAAGCTGGTTATAAGCATTACAAGTATACAGCTGATTCTTCTTCTATTTGCAGGTGTCGCCTATCGGGATCTGTATAAACACCGCCATGACCATGATGGGCAGTTTTTTCAAGATGAGAGTTTTGTCCTGTTAGACTGCAGAGAGAGACTATCGGGATACAGCTGGGTGATGGGTATTGATGCTGATGAGATCATTCTTCCCAGGAAAAATGTCACTTTGAAACCTTTCATCAAGGTAAGACAAGACCTTATGATCCTTTAGTTTCCTTATTTTCTGTCATAACAAAACAGCCATCATATAGCTGGAATATTGCTGAGTGCTGCGTTAAACAACAAACTAACAAACATAACAAAGCATCTGAATATTTAACTGTCTATTCATTTACAGTGATGCTACATAAAAAATAACACCATGAGGTAATGTACTCTGTCTGAGTTTAATAGATGGGGAACAACGATAATTACCATTTTCAAAGTGATATTTACCCAATTAGTGAGTGGGTGAGTATGAGTGAGTGAGTTGGGTTTAACGCCGCTTTTAACAGTATTCCAGTTATGTCGCGGCATGTCAGCTTAATGTGTGAGGAACACCCGAAGTGACGCAGGTCTCAGACGTTGACCACTTCGTCGAAAACCCGAGCACGGGTATGGTGCTGACAAACCTAGATACATAATCGGGGCGAACCGGGATTCGAACCCACAATCATAGGTCTCTGGCGTTCCCAAGGGACGCGATGATTTAGACGACTGGGCCACCCGTGCCCCCAAGGTGAGTATGCTTTTACGGCGCTTTTAGCAATATTCCTGCAATATCACGTCGGGGGACACCAGAAATGGGCTTCACACATTGTACCCACGTCGGGAATCAACCCGGGTCTTCGATGTGACGAGCGAATGCTTTAACCACTAGGCTACCCGACCGCCCCTACACCATTAGGATATAACAGCGTACAGAACTTAACATTGCTGATATTCAAATCTCAGGAACTAACTGCCAAGCACCCACAGGCAGCAGGGTTCCACTTCTACATCATGTTCCACTACACCAGCCACGGCAAAACAAGGAACCATTCTTCTGGCATGGAACACTTAGAATACTCCAGGTCAACCCCACCTCAATGGAAGGCTTACAAGTACTTTTATATTCCCGACAGAGTGGTGATTCCATCGACTCATGGGGTCAACGCCAAAGCCCCTTACACAGTGTAAGTTGTCAGAGTCTGAAAGAAAGTGTTCGATGTTAAAAAAGTCAGAAGTATAAATGTTTTATTGTAACCTTATGGCAAAAGTAAATGTGCTTCATATAATGTTCAATCTTTTTCTCTAAAATAATAATAATTATGAATTTTTTGTACATATTCGTAAAGACATCACCACGACTTACGGTCGTGATTCACAATTTGCACGTGCGTGTCAATGCATGGCGCACAATTTAGATGTTTGCTTCTCTGTTTGGCGCATGATGCTCATCAAACCTAAGGCACCAAGAACAATGGGAAGTCAAACAACTTTTTTTCTCTCGCTCTTTTTATACAGGCGATGTAGTTGACAGATTCAGTATATTGGCGATGTAGTTGATAGATTCAGTATTTTGGCGATGTAGTTGATAGATTCAGTATTTTGGCGATGTTGTTATTAGATGCAGTAAATACAAGTGATGTTGTTGATAGATTCAAGGTATTGGGGGTGTAGTTGATAGATTCAGTATATAGGCGATGTTGTTGATAGATTCAAGGTATTGGCGGTGTAGTTGATAGATTCAGTATACAGGCGATGTTGTTGATAGATTCAAGGTATTGGCGGTGTAGTTGATAGATTCAGTATAAAGACAATGTTGTTAATAAATTTCAGTTTTCAGGCGATGTTGTTGATAGATTCAAGGTATTGGCGGTGTAGTTGATAGATTCAGTATAACGACAATGTTGATAAAATATATCATATATCATCATCCATTAAATTAATTTTCAATAATTCCTTTTTGGTATAGAGAGATCTATATAAGAATCTGTACTGGACATATATTAGTTTCATATCATTTGTACACATTCTACAATCTACAATCAGAGAAAACATTATTCCATAAAATGCTTTGATTAAGTTCATTTTCCCATTTATCACACATCAGAGGAAAGTTAGTTGTAGCTATGAGTTTATCATAAAATATTCTCGAGCCCTTGATACTTGAACTTGATACTTGACAAACTTGGCCCCTGTATATGGGCCTATTCCAAAGAGTTTTATTATCATTACAGATTAAGATAAGAAATGCAGCAAACGGGGTGTGGGTTGTCAACGCATTGTCAGGCAGGAATGTGAAGACTCCCCAACACTGCAACCTTCTGCATTACCCAGATTGTCAGACGGGCTGTATTCCTGGTAGCTAATTCGGGTACACTCCCATTGTCAGTCAACAGATTAGGGGGTACCAAACCTAAGGCATCGAGAACAATGGGTCGGACAACTTGATACTGGGGATGCAAGCGTGACATTTCGAAAGCGAGGTCCGCACATTTGCCATGTTTTTCCTCAATCTTGTCAATCACGTTATTGTCAAGAGGGACAGAAAATTCAATGACATACATGATTTCATTGGATTTATGAAAATGGACAAGATCAGGTTTGTTGGCCTGGATACGACTGAGGCTGTTTACGGGCCTATTCCAAAGAATTTTGTATTTATCATTTCTATTACGCCCTCTACTTATTCTGTGTTGTACCATGAATGGACTTCTGTGTCAAAAGACGGTTATAAAAGGATCCAGCCACTTCATCATGTCGCTTAAGATACTGTGTTTGTGCCAAAGCTAGGCATCCACTGACAATGTGTTGGACAGTCTCGTGAAATTCATTACATAATCTACATTTCATGTTTACATTTTGATGCAAAGTCATATATTGACGATTTCGAGTGGGAAGTGACTGGTCCTGGGCAGCAAACAGAAAGCCTTCTGTTTCACTTTTCAGGCAAGCCGACCTCATCCAAGCGAAGGACTCTGCAGGGTTACTGCGTTTCTCAACACACTGCACATGAATTCGATGTAGTGGTCGTTCAGACAGCCTCTCCTTGAAAATTTTTGTCTGGGCCGAATTGATATGGCACTTCACTTGGTTGACACTCATTTCTGTACCGTCCAGCACTACAGCACCGTCAACAAAATCAACACTGACATTGAGATTATGTCCAACATCCTTGGCTCCTTTACGAAACCTGTGGAATGCCTTGTTTTCATCATGAGTCTTGACATGCTTCATAAGAGGATCATCTGACAAGTAAATGTGTGCAAAAGTGCACAAAACAATTTTATCATGAAGAGCCTCCACATTAATCAAACCACGCCCTCCCATCATTATTGGTAAATATAAGCAATTGAGGGAAGTGCGAGGGTGGTGGGATCTATTGTCTGCCAAGATTCTTCGTGTGAGGACGTCAATACCCTGAATTTCTTGGTTCTTCCAATCAACAACACCAAAATAATACGAAAGGACGGGCACAGCATAAGTATTTTTGGCTTTGACTTTATTTGAGAGTGTTCAGCTCTGAACTCCAGATTTTCTTAAGTCTACATTGGCACTCTGCCAGTTTTTCCCTGATAAGGGCATTCTTGAGTTTGGCCCTAGTCTGCATCCCCAAGTACGTATAGCCCTGACCTTCCACGAGATGGTCAACAGCTCCTCCTCCAAGTAAACTGACTGATCCTCCCTCTTCTACTTTGCCACGTTTCAGATTACGAATGTTGCATTTGTCGAGTCCAAAGGATATGCCAATATCATTTGAAAAGGACTTGACAGGGAAAATCTGTTTTTTTTGTAGTGTGGATGCTCCATTGGCAATAAGTTCAAGGTCATCCATGTAAAGGAGGTGCACGTGAGTGAGGGGTGTTAGGGATCTGTGCTGAGGAGGTCCAAGATGATTATCGTCCTCTTTGCTAAGCAAAAAGCTGAAAGGATTTAATGACAAACAGAAAAGCAAAGGACTGAAAGAATCACCCTGAAAAAGTTCTCTTTTGATAGAAATGGGTTCCGAAGTTACCACCTTCCCCTGCAAAGACATCTCAAGTTTAGTTGACCAGCAATTCATTAAAGACTTGACTAAAACAAGTAGTCGCTCGGGGAGGTCAATGCATTCCAGTGACTTCAAAATCCATTCGTGAGGTACAGCATCATAAGCTTTTCTGTAGTCTATCCAACACATTGAGAGGTTTTGGTGGTAAGTTTAGCCTCTTCACCTTTATTAGTGCCGCTTGGTTGAAACGAAATGTGAAACATGTTCTCATTGATAATTTTCTGCAAAGACGGCAAGAATCAAAGGAAAATTCATCTAAAAGTTACTATTATAACATGTTTAAAGAGTTAACATCCCTGGAACCTTATTTACTAGAACTACCAATCACCTTACGCATCTCTCTTCCTCGTTTTAGAACAGCAAATCATAGATTACCCATTGAAACAGGAAGATGGTATAATATTGTAAGAGAGGAAAGAAAATGTACATTGTGTAAAAATTTAATATGTGATGAAATGCATTTTTTATTAGAATGTCTAAAACTCTCAGAAATTAGAAACAAGTTTTTGCCTCAATACTACGGTATGTATCCTTCTGCCATAAAATTCTCTCATTTGATGTCCATTACTTATAAGCCAATTCTATTAAAACTGGCGAGTTATAGAAGATCATGTATGGAAATGTTCCACTGACATGTTTTCTCCTATTGTATCTAATTCCTGTATCCAATTACATCTCTGTATCACTGCCGTGATTTATGAGAATGAACATCATTCATTCAAGGATCATTTTTCTGAACCAGCAGTTTCATTGGATTTATCAAAAAGGACAAGATCAGGTTTGTTGGCTTGGATACGTCTGAGGCTGTAGTAGTAGTAGTATTTGAAAATTTTCTTTGTAATAATTATCGTTTTGTGTTGTATCTGATATGAGAACGTTGGCATGTCATATGTTCAACGACAGAATTGCTACTGGCTTGTTTTCGCAGAGAAACGCCACACCGATTGCTTATTGATTGATAGTGACCTTGTTTTCAAGAATATATTTTTTTACAAAAGAGATGTCAACTAATCTTTTATCTCTGCCATTGAAGTTTCAATTTGTTCTTTCAGACCTCGTGTGTCCCCAAGTGATGGCGTTATTCATCACGTGCGTCTATGCATTCATAAAGAGAGCGTCTGCTTCCCTCCAGACTCGGTTATTGATGATTCTCTTCTGAGATTTGAGGCCGAATTGCCACAGAGAGTTAAACAGGCGATGAAAGAAATGGTGTAATTGGTGCATGTATTTTCTTTACCTGAATTCACTGAGTTGTAGAAGCTAGTAATAAAAGAGATATATTATTACTGATGCAAACGTCGTCTCTTTAGCCGGCATGTGTATACAATCACTCATTAAACAATAGCAGGCATAATTTCCATAATTACTTGAAAACAGACCCTGATATCCCAAATACCCCATATGGTGTATCTGACATATCACCACACTTTTGGGCCATTGGCTACTCACTAAATGAAGGCGGAGTTGGCCGATAACTGGGTCACCCTCACCCACTACAATACGAGGGGTGTTCATTAAACCACTTAGGGGTTATCATATTTGGTTGAAATTTCACATGTGTAATGATACATGTATCTATTGGTTATGTCTGAATTTGCAGCACCGAACTATTAATCTTACCACTTTTACAGGTGTTATGATCGAGTGACAATGGAGCCAGTAGAATACCGAGCAGTGATTAGGTTTTTATATTTGAAAGGTCGCACACCAAAAGAAACTTTCGATGAAATGAAAGCAACTTATGGGGAAGATGCCCCATCATATGACGTTGTTAAACACTGGCATCGCCAGTTCAAGTGTGGTCGGACATCTGTGGAATCAGCTGCCATTCCTGGTCGCCCCCATTCAGCCATTGATGAGGAAAGTATCCATCAAGAGACCGCCATTTTGGCAGACCGACGTATAACTGTTCGCCAGTTAGCACAAGATGTCAAGATCAGTGTAGGGTCTGTGAAAAAATCATCCATGACAATTTGAACATGCATAAGGTGTCTGCACGATGGATTCCCAGGCTGCTCACACCTTTCCAAAAGCAGGAACGAGTCAATTGCTCAAAGGATCTTTTGGACATGTGCCCAAAAAAAACAGGCAAACTTTTTTGACAGACTTATCACACAGGATGAAAGATGGGTCCATCACTATGATCCTGAGACTAAAGTTCAGTCGATGCAATGGAAGCACGTGGAGTCACCACCCCCAAAGAAGACACATGTCCAACCCTCTGCAGGCAAGGTCATGCTCACGGTGTTTTGGGACCAGCACGGAGTAGTGATGATGGATTTCTTGGCAAAGGGTACCACAGTTACAGGAGCTTATTATGCTTCACTGCTGCGGAAATTGCGGGACGCTATCAAGCTTAAGAGGCGTGGCATGCAGACCAAGGGTGTCCGTCTCCTGCACAACAATGCTCCAGTACACAACTCTCATGTTGCCCAGACAGAAGCGCGGTCCTGTGGCTATAAAATCCTTCCACATCCTCCTTATTCTCCTGACCTTGCACCATCTGACTTCCACCTCTTTCCAACCATGAAGTCATTTTTGAAGGGAAAACGTTTCACAGATGATGAAACACTGATTTCTGAAGTCAAGTCCTGGTTTGAGACGCAAAATGAGGGCTTTTACAAGCGAGGTCTCCATAGTTGCATAAAACGATGGGAGAAGTGTGTAACTCTTGGTGGTTCCTATGTGGAGAAAGACTAATACCTATGCCAAGTTTCATTCCACTAGGTCCATCGGAAGTGAGTCAGGGGAAATCTTTAATTAACACCCCTCGTATAACAACCTCACACGAGGTCAGGAGAAAGAATATTTTTATTCCATACAATTAATCGTTATAAATACAGTGTAGAACAATGTTTACACATAAAGGTACCAACATTCGTGATCTGATTCAAAGGTTTAGGCTCTTCCATGTCAGACATTTTGAAAATGTCATGCGATGGGCGGTGGGGTAGCCTAGTGGTTAAAGCGTTCGCTCGTCACGCAGAAAACCCTGGTTCGATTCCCCACATGGGTACTATGTGTGAAGCCCATTTCTGGTGTCCCCCGCCATGATTATAGCTGGAATATTGCTAAAAGCGGCGTGACACCATACTCATTCACTCACTCACTCGTCATGCGACCACCTGCGTCATGTTGACGTCACAAGGTCAGTTTTCCAAGTCACCTAGTTTTCCTAGTTCCTAGAAATGATACACATAAGAAAGATAATTTATGGATGTCAACTTCTTTATTATGGGGAAAAGAACATTTCAGAGTATATATTTACTCCTAATAGCATGTATTCAAATGATGAAGGAGTAAGTATGTACTCCGAAACGTTGTGTTCCCCATAATAAAGAAGTTGATATCTATACATTATCTTTCTTACCGTTAGCTTGGTTTATTGGTACGTTTTTATGTTAACCTTGTACCAAGTTGTAAGACCTTGTGATATATGTGTTATGCAAGTGCCTGTGAATCTGATTTGCACATGTAATTTTAACATAAATATATTACACATCTCATCCATATTTGACTTATAGCCTGATGATATGAATTTGTTTAAACATATTTTATTCTAAATGAATTTAAATTCTTAAATGTGTTTAAATTCTAAATATGTTTGGATTATGAGGATGTTGTGTTTAAGCTGTGAGGCGGTAGCTCATTTCATGCGTTTAGACCCTAAACAAGGGCAAATTACACCGTAGCCATGACATCTATATGCCTTGAAACACTTAATTGTCGTTATTTATAAGATTCTAATCCCAATTGTTAATCGCCACTGTACTGTACATCAACTGTCTGCCATCCATAACGAGATGTGCAAGTATGGTGAATTACTGGTGTCAATGTTTATGACTTACTAAATGTCAGATGACCTTGGCTATATAAGCTTTGGTCCAGAGATGAAAGAGAGAGCAAGGTCTTCCCCTGAGCCTAGCTACGACTAGGCTAGGTGCTCCAACAACCACTACCACTATGTGCTGACCTGGCCAATAGTGTTTTTTTATGATTATATTTACCTGAAATATTGTTTTCTCCAAGTTGTCACTTCCTACCGAGGACCATACTTACTTACTTATATTTGTGATTTTACGTGCGCTTTCCGACTGCAACGTATTTCGCACACGGGCCCGGCCAATGCAAGCCATTTAATGTGTTTCCGAAAAGAGGAAAAAGTTGTTTGGCAATCCAGTAGGGGTGTTTTAGTGGTTGCTTATATAGAATTTTGGAAATTTTGAGATTTGGAAAAAATGCCAAAAGGGTTTGGGGGGCGAACTAAAGGACCTGAGTATGGAAGTTTGTTAGTTTGATTATGTGGTTTGGTTTTGGTAGTTTATTGGGGTTTTAAATGCGATTTATTAGTCCTGTTTTGATTAAGTATACGCCTAAGGCTTTGAATTTTTCTTTTGCTTCTAGAGTAAGAGCCTTATTTAGATTTAGGGTGGTTTGTAGTGTAGTTCGGTGTGTTAGGTAGTGGGTGCAGTGTATGAGTGCGTGTTCTGGGTTTTATTGTTGTTTGCAATGTTGGCAGGTTCCTGTTGCGTGTTTTCTTATTATTTTGAGGTGGTTATTTAGGTTGGTGTGTCCTCTTTGGTGTTTAGTAATCACTCTGTCGATTTTCTTTGGACGGATGTCGAATTTTTGGTTTGGTTAGGTTTTTTTTGCGAACCTTTTTGATTTGGCTATTTGAGTTTTGATATAGGTTATGCCATGTTTTGGTGATTTTTTGTTTGTTGACACTTTTAATTTCTGATTTGGAGATGGGTAGGTTTAACCTTATTTCTGGGATTGTAAGGGGAACCTTGTGTTCCTCTTAATAAAGAAGTTGACATCCATATATTCTCTTTGTTATGTGTATCACTTCTGAATGCCTTTCAAAGATCTATATCAAGGCGGTCTGTAAATAATCGAGTCTGGACTAGACAATCCAGTGAACGATATCATGAGCAATTATATATTTATTTATCAACCAAGTTGCTGAGTTGCTGAAGATCTAATCTCTACCCGGATCATAAAGACTGTTGCCTACACATAGTGTCAAGGATCATCTCGCGGCATATCAAATAATCAATCGGATGACTCCAGTACTCTGCAGCTTCTCAAGCTAAATGGATGCGATAGTATTTGGGTGCCAGCACATGTTGGAAGACACGGGAATGGGGTCGCTGATCATTACAAAACCCTGAATTTTAAGCTTTAGATTTTCGACCAAGCCCTAAAGGTTTTGAAACTGTTTTGTCGAAATTTATTTCAGTAAATTAGATAGACTATCTGATGGTTTACTGAAGGAATATTTCATGTTCCTTATTGAAAGTGAGTGAGTATGGAGTATACATCACGTCGGGGGACACCAGAATTGGGCTTCACACATTGTACCCATTTCGGGAATCGAACCCGGGTCTTCGGCGTGACGAGTGATTTAGTGAGTTTGGTTTAACGCCGCTTTTAGCAATATTCCAGCAATATCACGGAGGGGGACACCAGAAATTGGCTTCACACATTGTACCCATGTCGGGATTCGAACCACTAGGCTACCCGACCGCCCCTTCGGCGTGACGAGCGAACGCTTTAACCGCTAAGCTACCCGACCGCTCCTCCTTTTGATAGGGTGTTTCATGTTTCTTATTGAAGAGTGTTTCGTGTTTCTTATTGAAGGAGTGTTTCATGTTTCTTACTGAAAGAGTCATCTTCAGGTTTTTCTCCATAACATGAAGCACGGTCGTGCCTCTGTCTTTTCTTTTCCCTGTCATTGATGTTCATGTGCAATGTATACGTGTAACTGTGGATCGGAGGCAAAGCTTTTAATGTGACGCCATTGGTGCACGGCCCGTCCCTGGTGTCGCCTCGCCCATCCCAATCTCTGCGGCCTATGGTAAGAAGTTTGGGTCACACCCTTCACAGGACGCCTTGCTCTCAGGTTTTCTGACGGTTTTAAACGGTGGATGTGGAAATTCACACGGGCCAAGTCTGACCCAACACAAGCCAAACACTTCTGATACAGACTATGTTGAGAATGTTGTGTGAAAAGGGCTTCACTTTGAGCACTGTGTTTTCCTTAACTACCGCAATATGAGACAATAAAGTGGTATATAATTAGAAATAATACTAGTCTTTAGATATAAAGAATGTTTAGTAACTTTAGAAGTGCTAGGACAGTTATTAACACGTGTCGTGTCAGCCCCATGACATTCGCGAATATCCACTTCAAGAAAACATCCTGTGTTGGTTTAACATGAATTAGTAAAGGTTAATTAGGGATGCCCAACACGTTAATTAATGAAAGAAGAGTAGTCAAAACACTGTCGTTTCCTGCCCAGGACATCAGACCCCTTACACGCTAAGGTCGGTGAGAAACCTTCTCATCAAAGAAAACACACAGTCAAGACACTGACTCACGGTATGTAGTCATAATTATCAGTTTATTACATTGTTGAAGATACATTTTGATTCAAACTCAATTAAATGAGCAAAACGATACGTTTGTGGACATTTGCGATCTGCCTAGATATGCATGTTTCGTTTTATTGTTCTGCAATCCATTTTCAGTATAACCCGCTGGCCCGGCCCTGCCCGACTTTTCTTGGCCCGACTTTTAGGCAATCCCTGACGCGAGCGCCCGTCCACGCCCACC